TGTCACGGGGAAGTGTAACAATACCTGAAGGAAAATCAACAAGTAGGTCAGAGCTGAGGGAAATGCTGATGACGGAACCGCAGTTGAAAGTGGAACCGTGTGTAAAGAATTCGGCCACAAATAGAAATGTTACTTAGCCAAAAATAAAAATATTTTTAATGAAATCCACAGGCGTACAAAATGGGCCTGAAAGAAAATTAATGAAATGTTATAAATAAGAAAAATAATTATTTTAGGATTAAATGAATTAAATGTTTGAATAAATATTTTTAAAAAAACATTAAGTAATGAGAATAGCAGCATGACCATTAAGCAAATGTAAGACAAAGGTGTTTTTATTTACAGTGATAAATATAATAATAGAGCCAAAATTAAAAAGGGTATTGAACAATTTAAATTGTACTTTAAATAAGTAGTACTACATTAATAAAAGAAATCCAGGGAAACTTTAATGACATCACTTACTAATATTTTAAACGCGACTGTTGCATGTGACAAATGTGTCTTTAATTAGGAAACAGTGCAGTCTGTGCCAGTGTTAATATGAGGAACTCTCTTTGTAGACACTGGCGCTGCTAATGTTAGCGATAAGTCAAAGCAGCAGAGGATCAAAGGCTGTAAGCTGCTCACTTCCCCTCCTCTCCTCACCTCCTCTCTCCCCCTGTCAGGAGGGAGACCTGCAGACAGAGCAGGAATCCTGATTCCAGGTCTTAAAGATGCAGCGTGTCAGTGTTAGTAAGTACAGACCCCCCCTACAGGGGGTGCTATAAATGCAGATTGAATACCCTGGACAATGCTTTATTTCCATAAGATTATGTATTTTTATTTTAGGCTGTCGATTTTTTTAAGCATTTTGAAGTCTTCCTTCACTTTAAAAGCTGGACTGTATGTTTGTTAGCTCAGTATCATTTAGCTTTTTTTGCATCTTTCTAAATTCTTGTTGCTTTTGACATTTTTTGTACCCTTGATGTACACATTTTAGAAATGTTTAAAAGGTAAGCGTTTATGTAACAGATCATTCTAGTGATTTTTTATGTTCCTAATCATTTTGGATCATATGTCCAGTTAATTATTTTATTCAACAATAATGAGAATTTATATACACTATCTAAGTAATTTCAAGAGCGTGACACCTCCAGCCTGATCCACAGTGCAAACTGTGTCCACTCTCACAGCAGACACACATGTCATCACCATTAATCTGGTAATGATGACATCACTATTACTGTCCATACCAACCTGCCTCCCAGCTGCCCTGTCTTTGACAACGTACCCTGAATTTTTGGTGCACGGCAGCAGGGAGGAAAAGCAGGGGTTAATCCCAGTTTAATACACAGATGCAGAGCCCGGGACGGCGGCTGTGATGACTGTGTTATCATCAGCCAGCATTCGGGTATCCCTTCATTTCAACCCGGCAAAATGAGTGGGAGAGAGGGCAGATGGAGTGGGGTAAGAGAGTGGATGCCTGAGGTGGAGTGTTATTAATAGAAGAGCAGCAGAAACTTCCCACAGCCTGTGTGTGATCACTGTTTAAGCTGCTTCTCATCACTGGGTTGGTTTGAAGTCCTGCCTCCATCCTCCACTCCACTCTCTTTTCTTTCAAAAAGGCTTATTCTGCACTCCAGATATGAGGCTGTGGTATTTTTACACTGTGCATATCAGTGATGAGCAGCACTGGGGTTCAGGTCTGATCAGTGCGTGGTTTGACCAAAGATGCTGCCGATGATGTCACAGTTCAGTCCATTTTAATTAAAATAAAAACATTTACAGTACGGTGACTGACAACCTACATGTTTGCACAACTACCCAATCATTTACCTTAGCTTAACAAAATAGCATTTTTTGCAATTTTCTGATCATAACATCTAGCTTAATTTTGAGTAATATTTAACATATTTGACAATAGGTATTTATATATATCATTTCATTAACCTGGCTATTAGCTTTATTTGCTAACTTCAGATTCAATGTTAGCAATTGAGACAAAAAAGTTTATAATTCAACATATCTTTATCTCACACAAAGGTCTGAAGACTGGGAGACGGAGGAAACGCAAGTGAGGTTAAAACCTTAGCTGCACATGGACACAGCTTATTTTGTTTTCATACAGTAGTGTGTGTATGAACGGTTCGAGCGCTGATAAACTCACACACTCATTCAGCTCTTGCCAGCCTGCCATCACAGCCAATCCAAGAAAAACAAACGAAATGAATATTTAAAAAAAAACAACAAGAAAAACAACTACGCCAGACAAAACCTTCAAATCTCCTGAATTCCCGCTGCAAGCTTTTACAGCAGCAAGTCAGCCTACGAAAGATGAAAGTGAAAAGAAATAAAAGGCTGAAATTTAATCTGCTTTAAAGCTCTTGGACAGAGACACGTGTGCCTGGAAGTGTGAGAGTGAGGGCTGATAGGGGATAAATATATTTCTTACCCTGCCCTGCAGCTATCACAGGCCGCTCCAACACAGAGTCCTATTCAGCAGACACCGCTCTCATTACCAGCTGTAATAGGCTAAGTCTTCAAATTATTAAACGGCAGGCCTGTGTATGACACAGATGATACCGGCAGTAAGATAATCTGCTGCAGGAAGTGAGGAGGAGGAGGACACTGGTGAAACATTTTGATTGGCCTTCGTTGGAAACTGTCATCCACAAACTGAACACAGGCACAGGCCAAAGGTTCAGGTAAACCATGAGATATTTGATCGGTTTTAAATGACTTTGGTAAATATCAGCTAAATGTGGTCTAACAAAATGATGTGGCCAAAGCGTAGGCCCATTTCAGGTGGTATTTCGATGGTACACAAAGAGAGCTGTTACTCAGATTAGGCCCACATGGTTTTACAAAGATTTGTAGGCCACATGTTCCATGTGTTATATGGGTCACTTTTCTGTCCGTGTTCTGTGGGCGCTAGTATTTCATTCTTAGTGATCCACATATGTACACGCTGCCTAGGATGCAGAAATATCCACAAAATCCACAGCCAGAAAAAACCTCAGTCTCAGTCTGTAATTTATCTTGTATTTATATTAAAATGCTACACAAAATCTACAGCCAGAAAAAACCTCAGTCTCAGTCGGTACATTTAAAAGAATCTAAAGTCCAATCAATAGCTACCTGTATCATTTTAATGTGAATTACTATCATAATGTAAATAATAATGATTCTTATTCAAAGGAAATGCAATGTGAATACACAGCAAATTGCATGTTACGTGATCACATAGAACAAAATATTGGAACAACCAAACAACTGCATGGAAGTGACCTGCACTCCTCATACTCTGTTACCTGACAGATAGATTCATTACCCTAACCTGTAATAAGGAACCACAAACATTCAAATTCAAATTGTTTTTTAACTGTAACTCAAGAAATGGTTGGTTGTGTTTTTTATTTCTGTTGCTGTGTAAAGTGTATTTAGGTTTCCAAAAATATCAAATAAATAATATTTATAAGTCAAATAAAAATGAAAACATGTATTTTTTACAAAAATGCAACCAGAAGAAATGGACCCTTTTGGTCAATTCTTGCACATTTCATGGCCTAATGAATTTACGATTGTAAATGATATCATGTTTTTCATTTACCTGTTACAGAAATGTAATAACCTCATTTAAACTCACTTCTAAACAGTTAAAATTCACATTTTTGCTTTAAATAGGCAGTAAAACAAGTTTATAACACACACACACACACACACACACACAGCTCTAATTGAAATTGACTGGCACAGCGCTCATGTGTCAGTATTGCTTTCAGGGTAGCATTTAAGCAGCACCACAGGGGCCCGATCCACTTGAGGGGCCCCCCATCATAAATAATTAAAGCATCCACAGAGTCTGCTGGGAGCAGAGCTCAAAGCTGCCAGACCCCAGGCGACAAAACGCCCGTTTAAGCCCAATTTGTACACATAAAGTGTCAGAGAGAAGTAGAGGGGAGACTTACCTTTGTCCCCCAGGATTCCATCGATGCTGTGTTTGGTTTTCTTCTCTCCGTCTTCATCTTTTTTATCACAGTCGTCCTCATCGTCCTTCTTCCCAAATCTTGCCCTCAGAACACGGCTGATGGAACTCACTGCCAACAGAGAGGCCAAACTAGCATTATTACAGTGCTGATTATTTTGTTATTTAATAACTAGACATGCTGAACACCTTCACTCATCAACAGCAATTTAATTTGGCCATAATGCTTCACTTTTTTAATGTTCAACAATAATAACACACTGTATCTGGAATGACTTTTGTTCAGATCCTCCAATCACATGTCAGGGTTCAAGGTGACCACAGATTATCCTAGTATTGTACTGACTATGACCTCTACGTGGCGCTTAGTGACATTCCGCGTGTGCGACACCTAAACCACTGTGAAGTTAACGGCTCGACGGACCGAAGAAATGAAAGAAGATTTTCATCTAATTATTTAACAGACGACTTCCGGTTACATGAAAAAAATGGTTCGAAGATACTTTTACGTTACGTTGACGTTACGATATTAAATTCGTAGAAAACAGAAAACCGAAACCTAAAAAATAAAAGGCATTTTGAATGTTTAGGTCTTTAAGTAATTATATTAGAATAGGTGAAAGAGGCATAAACTAATTATAACAAAATATTTGAATTTGTAGTCAGTTCTCAGGGATTGTTGGTGTGCAAAATAATATAATAATATTATGTTTAGTGACTCAACACGACTTATTTCATATAATAATAATTATACAAATAATTTACCAATACATTCATGATAATAATAATTTTCGTTTCGAGTGTTATCGGCACAATACATTCATGATTATTCATGATGATGAATAATTTTCGTTTCGAGTGTTATCGGCGCTGTTAAATGTATAAAGCACGTTAACATCAGATGTAATTGAAATATTAACAGAATGGTAATAATAGAAATGAATGTAGCTTACCAGGGGAGGCCTCACCTGAAGGGACTGTGCTTCTGTCGCACACACCGTCCTTCAGCAGTTTGTCCCGGATCTCCCAGCTGAACATTCCCGGGTTCTCCCGTTTATACTCCTCGATCCGCTTCTCCACGTCCGGGGTGGCTACCTGCTGCACCTCCGCATGACCAGAATGATTGTTAATTATTTTAATTATGATTATTATGATATGATGATGATTATTATTATTATTATTATTATGAGGCCTCACCCTGGGCTTGCTGCCACCAATGGCCCCAGGTCTGATGGACCCGGTCTCCTGGTAACGGCACAGGATCTTGGAGACGCAGCCGTGGGAGACCCGCAGCTGTCTGGAGATGACGCAGGGCCGGATCCCGTGGTGGGCCATTTCCACGATCTTGTGTCTGATGTGATTGGGCAGCGGGCGGCCGTTGATGAAGACCCCACCGAGCTGGTTGACCCGGCCTTGGCCCAGAGGAGTGGACACTGTGGGGGAGAAGAGGAGGCCTGAATCTACAGTAATGTAGGGGGGATTTGACTGGTGTGAAGAGGCCGTCATTGACCCTGGAGATCAGGTTTAAGGGTCCTTCAGTCTCTCGTCATTATTCTCCTCACGGTTCACAAACACTGATGTGATCCTGACATGTTCATGTCCAGACGCCTGGACACTTAAAAAACAGGTACCGTCTACAAATAGGATTAGTTTGAAAAGTACAACGGAGTTTTGTTTTTTTAATTATGTTAATGTAACATTTGTTTCCCTTTGATGATTTATGTCGCTAATGAAAAAAACAAAACAAAATTATGTTTCATCGTCACTGGTTAGGTATTTGGATGTAAATTAAGACAAAAGGAGTAAAATAATAAGAAGTAATAATGTGATGTGGAATTTAAAAAATCTTGATAAGTAATTAAAAATAAATGTTTAAATGGACAAGAAAGGGAAGGTGGTCATTTCTCGTTGTTTTTAAGTCTATTTTAAATGTATAAAATCTGCCTTTAAGTACGTGTTCAAACCTGCGAAAACATAACAGAAAAAAGATGGGTAGAAATTCTTTGTCATTCGTCTTTCCGGATTCATGTGCATTCTCAAAATATCATTGTATAAGTTTAAAATGTGTTGAACCAGAATCTACATTTGTTGTTCGATTCGAGCCAAACAACAAAAATAGAAGCATTTTTAATGAAAAAGAAACAAAGACATTTTATGTGAATGAAATATTTAAAACCCGCGCTATTCTTGGATAATTAAACAGAGTATAAATAAAACGGAAAACAACAAAGATAATTAAAAAAAAGGCTTTTTACAATTAAATAAAACTGTCATATTATTAATAAAAAGAAAAGATTTCTTAAAGACAGGAACAGTTCCCACAGTGGTGGAAGATGGTGAAGAAAACATGGAGAAAAACTAAACATAAGAAACATAGTGAGAGAACGGCACAAGAAAGTCATATTTCAATAAAATATGGAAATTCATAAATCAAATATTTGATTGATTTTTTAAAAAGGGTCGATTTCCGGTCTTTAAAATAAGAACAGGACAGTAGGAAAACTGTTTCAGTGGAAAGTGAGTTGAGGAGACAAAAATTGGGAAAGAAATATTTCGGGGTTAAAATAAATTCGTTACGTTTCACGGGAATGTTTTCCAGGGCCTGGAAAATTGTTCCAGGTTGTACCAGGCTGCTAAGTCCTACCTTCCAGAGGGAATCCGGTGCGGGGATAGTTCTGCCCGGGAGCGGGGCACATCATCCGTGGTACCGTTCCTGGCAAGGACGACATTCTAGCATATAAATAAGATAAAATGAACTCAAAATAAAAAAAAATTAAAAACGAAAAAAATAAGTTTCTAGATGTCCAGTTTAAGTGTAGCTTTCTGGTGAAAAAAAAAAACAAAAAACAAATGTTGAGAAGACAGATAAAAAGTCAGATCCACAGAGCGTTGGAGGAAAGACGAGGCCGGATGTTGAGGTGAAGGTGGAGCTCCTCCAGACGGAGAGGAGATGGTTCCTCACACTGTCGGTGGATAAATGTGTTTACACTGACTAAACAGCACAGCTTTAACAGCCACTGTGAAGGTCCGACTGGAGTCTGACAGAGTCCGGGACAAGTCTGGACCAGGAGGACTGCAGGAAAAAAAAGAGAGGCGAGAGAAAGAGGGGGGTCCTGGAGGAGATCAGGGATAGGTTCCTGGGGAGGATACTTCTTATTCGGGAGGGAAAAGCTCCAACAAGTTTCTGTAGCCAATGAGGAGGACGGCACGAAAACACACACACACACAACACAACACAGCACGGGACGGGACGCAAAACCAGCGAACACTGATGTACAGAAATGGTACGCTTCCTCTTTTACAGAAAACTACATTTAACACAGTATTCCTAACATACAGTACCAGTCATGTGTAGTATATGTCTTATACACACAAAATAAAAACGTCCCTTAAAATACTGAGGTCAAAAATTGCCCGCCTTTTATATCGACCCATTGATTTACAGCACGAATAAATCAGACAACAGCAACAATAATTCGTTTTACCTTCAGATTTTCTCTTCATGTAAACACGAATCTTCTTAAATGTTTAGTTAAAACATTGTGGAAGAGCAACAACGATGACGCCCACATGTTAGGATAAATACGGTTAGAAAAGAGTGGAGAGAAATAAGGTTTGGCGGGAATTTAAATGAGCAGTTTAACAAAACAAAATTGGCAAAGGATACATAGATTTACATATATTCCTTTGTTGTCGATATTCAAATATATATCCACAAATATATATCGATATTCAAATATGTATTGACAGCAAAGGAATAAAAAAATGAAGTTACTGACAAAAGATGTTACATTTTGTTCAGCGACGTTTCCATATGAATTTGTCCCAAAGAACACAACTGCAACATTTAAATTCAATAGTGAAGGAGTATATACTGCTGTGGAAATGTGTCGTCGCTTCCAGACCTGACAGGGTTGAGTGAACCAGACAGAAGCTGTGAAGCAGCAGAGACTGAGATTTGGTCAACTTTCTGTTTCAGAGGTAAAAGATTAAAGAAAGAAACGTGTAGATATTCATTCTTATCTACGTACTGTGTAATCCTGTGGGGGTCACCAGGAGCTGCTGGACGGTCCACATGGGAAATGTCTTCAGTCCATCACAGGGTCACAAAAAAACCTCACCTCACTCACTTATGGTCAATTCACTGTATCCACCTGACCTAACGTCCGTGTCCTTCATTTGTGGGAAGTTGGAGGACATGAAAGAGAAAACCACTGTGAGACCACTGACTACTTCAAATGTTGGACAAAATATTTAAAAGGGAAATATCATCATTTGTTGACGTCCAGGTGGAAATGCCCCACTAATTTATTTATTTTTGGTTGAAAATAACAGTTTTACTATTCTACTATGAAGGATGGTTGTCAGAATTCAGATATTTTCAAGATGTATCCTCAATTTATCACATTAATGGGTAAAAACTCAAAAGAATGATTTCCCTAAAACGTCGAATCGGTCCCTGGAAAAAGTAGCTTAATTTGGACACTAGAGGGCGACGAAGAACTAATCTTCGCACACACGATTGAAAGGATATCAGTATTTAAAGAACAAGGTTGTGTGTTTATGGAGGTTAAAGTGAAAACAGCCAGACATGTTATTTTATAAGGGATATTGTAACATTTTCAGGCCTTGCTCAAACAGTACTATAAGAATAACATTTCTTGAAGTAACCATGCCTCACTCTGTCTGCAAAGGGCAGCGGCCTATTCTATTTTAAGGTGAACACTTCACACAGCTGGGCCGTATAATGTAAGAACAGTGAAGCAAATTGGTTATTTGGAAAAATGTCAAACTTTGCTGTGGGTTGGAATGGTTTAAAATAAAAGTTCATCTAAATGATAATTTATTTGGAGCTCTTGACCTCAGAAGTAGATTAGGAGCAGAAAGTTTATTCCAAACTGAAAATAACAGAAACTCACTGGATAACAGGGCCAGGCAGGGACAAAACATAAACTGGGACCAACCAGGAACTAGGAACAAAAACCACAAAGAACAAGGAACGCCAAGCATGGACACAGAACAATGACCTGACAAAGACAGAGTGAGGGAGAGAGGTGTATACATACCCAGTGAACCAGGTGACACCAGTGAGACTAACGACAGAGACACAGGTGAGAGTGATCACACTGATTGAACAGCAGACACAGACAGAGGGGAAACAGAGACAGACCCCAGAGTCTAACATCTAACCATGATTTGACTTATTGATTTTTAAAATCACACAGTGTTTCAGGTTCTTTTCCCCAGGTACTTTGGGAACCGCAACATAGATACAGCTTTTTATCCTTTTTTTTTCATTTGCCTGTTTCAAATTTGTGTGACGGAATATAAAAACAGTTGGGAATTAACAATAGTGTGATGTAAAACTATCAGTTATTTCAGGTTATTGAATAATACATTGTTTCCAAACCTTTCTAAGCTACAGCACATATATATCATTAGGAAAAACCCCACGGCACACCAGGAAACAAAAATCTCACAAAAAGGATATCTAATGAAATATAATAATCTTCTAGTTTAACTGACCTCATCATTGACTAAAATCATGGCCTGTTTAGTTATCTTCTCCAACAGCTCTGATTATTTAATTTTTTTTTAGGTTTTCATAGCTGTCTGCTGCCACCTAGCAGAAGAGGATTTAGTTGTTCTGCCTCTCATGCTTTGACAAGAAAAATTAAATGCATTAAATAAATAATAGTTTTCAGCCCAACTAAGTAAAATTGGATAATTTTCCACGGCACACCTAATGATCTCTCACGGCTCACTAGTGTGCCGCGGGACAGTGGTTGGGAATCACTGGAATAGTAGGTTACATTTTTTAACTGCTGACACACAAAGGTTTGTAATGGAGTTTCTTGAATTTCATTTATAATTAAGTGATATATCAAATATTGCCAAAAGCATTAGAGATGTTGATAGTTTGATTTTATTACAGGGATGCCTGTTAGTGTGTTTATTTAAAGGTTCATTTCTTGGCCTAGCATCAATATTCACACCTGGTCACTAACTAACAGATCACCCAGTAGTTCTGTGCCTGTCTCAATATTGAATATTCTACAAACACATACTGTGTAACACTTCATTTACATTCACAAACAGTCGACACTGTTCTACACTGTTATTATTCCAAGGATTTCGCTGTGCTTCAAACTGCAGCCTCATGGATTTGCAGCACTATCACCATTGGTTCTGTCCATTAGAAATACACAACCAGAATTATTATGGTTTTAGTGAATTTTCATGATTTTTACATTATGAAAACAGACATTAACTCCACAACTCAGTGGTTACTAATCTGAGACATTCATCACTGACGGGCCCGATGACTGAGTCCTGTTCTGCCCTGGCTGACATGTGCTGTCCTGCAGCCCGCGCATCATGTGACGGGCGGGCTGCTTGTTTGTGTAGAAATCAGTTATCTGTGGCTCCCCTTTACAAATTTCAGGAAGAAAAGAGTCAGTGTGATCCAACTTTTGAAAGTAGCAGCCCCCATTTAGCATGCAGTGGGGCAATTGGTTTCACTTAATCGATCATGGTGACTGAGCCATGAAGAGGGACGGCTCTGACGACCCACAATGCCCCAGTTCAGAGCTGAGCAAAAGTCCCAGGCCTTTCTGTTGTTGAAAACATGACCTCCACCTTCCACAAAAGACAACTGAAATATGCTGCGTTGTTTAACAATCACATCTGGGACAGAATCAACTTGCTCCAAATATTTTTTTAAAATTCATTACTGTTGTTGTTTGTTTCTTTTGGTTTGTCCTCTCAGTGGAGACCACCGGAGCCTGGAGCTGCTCTGTGTCGTTAATCTCAGTGTCTCCCTTTAACCTGATTATGGCGTTGTTCTTCATCTCCCCATCTTCTCACTCACACCAATGATGCTTAATTTGCTGCTGCGTTGCTCCTCCATCAGAAAGCATGGAGGTCTCACTTAAGCGAGTGAAACACAAATGTTAGCTCAAACACTAATCCAATTTCAAATGGAGGTAATTATTTCCATACAATATCAGCTTCCATTTTTGAGGGGAGGGGGGTCCTTTGAGTGTTTTGGCCACCATAGCCAAGCCTTAGTAATCAAGATTATGAGTAGATTATGAGTATTGATAGACAGACAGGGTGTACAGGCTGCCCATTCTGTAGCAGGGCTGTGAGTCTGTTCTACTCTGAACCAAAGGCCTGATGTGTGGAAACCTCTCTGATCAAATTTGAACTGATCAAATGGTGGTTCTGGGGTCACACTACAGCCCCAAGGCTAACGGTCTAAAATGTCTGCAGGACCGGGACTCATGGACACAAACCCTGTCTTTCTGATGGACCTATGTGTTCACTGACCACACCTGTACATGTTGAACCCAGGATGTGAACAGGACACGACCCTTTGTCTGCTTTTGTGAGGTTTGCTGCAGATGAAACACGTCAATTCTTTGTCCTATTTCCAGGAACCAATGAAAGGATCCCAGCAGGATAAAAGTCTTCGCTGGAAACATAGCCAATTTCCTATGGTGGGATATTTTCTGCTGTTTGCTGGAGTGTTATGACTCTTTTCAAGGGCATTTCTAACTTGTTTTTTCACAGGCGATTATAGCTAGAACAAGACAAGCTCTGAGGCCGGCAGAGCATGGGACCTTCATGAGGCTGAGAGCCACCTCCGCAATCAATGTTGCCATTTTGTGAGATCAAGCAAACCAGATCCACCATGCAAGATGCATTTCGTTTGCTGAGTGGCTTTTCTGAAGCGTCTATTCATGCAGCAATTTTTCACAGGAGCAACAGTGGATAGCATGATGGGGAGGATGATGCTGCGTCGTTGAATAATGTCTCCACTCTGCACGAGATCTATCTGGTGCAATGGTAATAATAACGCGGCTAAATGTGGTTTCTCTTCTTCTTTAATTATAATCAGAAAAACAATTCCAGTGGTTAAGATTTCCAGGGTAACAAAGTGCTGTATGTGAAACACAAGTTAAAAGGCTGACACGCCACGACCAGAAGGTGAAGACTGATAGATGGTAGTGGTCTGGGTCCCTTTTAAAATCTAATCCAATTTATTTTTTATTTCCAGTATAACCAGGATTTTTCGCCTCTGAAAATGCATAAAAACCAAGTAGAAAAATGGCTCAGTAATAATTCTAAAAGTTAGCCATGAAAAAATGTGTTTGTTGATCTCTTTAGGCCATCTTTCACACCCCGTAGTTAATGATTGGTGCTCGGCGCAGTCCTCTGCTCCTGTTTCACTGACAGGTTAATGTCAGGTTAAATGCAGAGGGCAGTTTTGTTGTGTGTAGCTATATTTTAAAAAAAGACAACATTGTTTCTTCTCTTCTACAGCCAGTAGGTGATTTGATTTTCCAACATGAATGGCCTTAAAAAAAGAAAACCATTTCATTGTTGGAAGAGTGTAAACAGTGTAGTGTAGAGTAGTGACAAAGTTGTTTTATTTAATAGATAGATTCCTACATGATTTGATATCATATATATTATTACATCATATTTCTTGGGAGGTAAATGTATTTAGTTAATACTTTATTTTTTTCATACTTTTATTCTGTCAATCAAAACCAAATGTTTTCTATAGACTTGTACAAATACATTACCAGTTGCATAATTTATCCCTCCATCCATCCATCCACCCATCCTAGAATCCTTTCATACCCATACACTGTAGAACAGCACAGGGACATGCTTCGAGTCTGAGTCTTTGCCGTCCTCACAGTTAAAGGTCACAAACCTAAGTGGGACAGCTGCAGACATTGATGTATTGAGTCCAAACAGGTCTTTATTAAAACTGCTCTTTAAACCACCTTTCAATAGGCTTCATATGGTTTGGCTTTTCCATACAGTCTGCAGGACAGAGTGATTTTAGTCCCTGAAAGTCCATGCTATAAGCTGCTCCTCTGAGGATTTTCTCTTTCCATTCTAGCAATTTTTTTTTCTTCCCCATCTCCTAATACATTAACTGTCTGCATGTTCACATAATCCTAACCTCACACCTCTCTGCTCACAACCAGACATCCCTCTGATGTGCACATTCCTTATCGTGTCCATTCTAACGACCAGCTTTTTCTATGTGTTCAACTCCAGCTCAGCCTCCAGTCTTTTGTTCAATGACACAACCTCTAAAATAAAACTGTCATTAAAACCGCATCTGTTTATTAATATAACATTCATCAATTTGTTTGTTAAATTCACAGCATCATATGGCTTTATCCTAATGTATATTAACTGTTGAATCAACCTATTGGCTAAATGCATTAATCATATAGACTCCCACAGGGTTAGGGTGATGGAGTAAAGTCAGGCTGGGCAGTCGATCATGAGATCAGCATCAATCATGTTCCATATCTGAGTTCCCATCAGCTGTTCCTGTTCATAGTTTGATTATAGTTAGATAATGGCTGTTGGAATGTCTTTGTATAGAATGATGATGAGGATGATGATGATGATGATGATTGTTGTTGTGGACTCTCAGTATTAATATCAAATTTTATTTTCTTATTCTTTTCTTATTTTGTAATTATAAAATGAATATTAATGATAATCGCAATGATAGTCCTATTTTTCATAATTGTATCCATTGTTGTGTTGTTCATCTACTTCGTTAAAATGTTCTACTTTATTGAATGTTCTTTATATTTTCATCTATCTATATATATATATTGAATTTAATTATAAGACACAGTGGAAAACTAATGTTTATGTTTTGTTGTTTTTTTTATCATTCGCATTTAACCTTGTTTATTCAAATGTATTTTATTAGTTTGTGCTAAAAAAAATGATTCAAGGAAGTGCATTTTCACCCCTGTAAATATTTACTCTAAAATAAATCTTGAACAAAAAAGATAAAATAATGACACAAATGATCATTAGTGTCATTATTACACCCGCACTAACTGTAAATGATCAGTTAGTGCGGGTGGTGTGTGTTAACCTTTTTTAAAATTATCAGTTTTATAGTCAAGTGAAAACTAGTATCAACTGACTTTTGCAGTTTTAGTTATTGTTATTATTTACTCAGCAACACATTGTATTGTTTACTAGCCTACAAAGCTAAACAATCTACCTCGTCGGCTTTTGGTTAAGGGTACTTGATAAAAAAAACGGTTTTTGGTTATTATTTATGGACATATTTAAAAACCTGTTAACAAAAAAAAAACACAAAATAAACGATACCTTAGAGCAGGATATATTCTGTGTGTATGTTCATATTAGGTCTACTTTTTTATGTTTACCGAGAGAGAAAATAGAACGTATATAGTAATCAGCTCCACTTCCTAACCGGTCACCCTGGAGCGATCGCTGGTATTATTTCGCCCTCTGCTGGACAAATAAACAAAATTCAAAAGTATTTAATAAAAAAAATATTGTGTATCTAGGTCAATAAAAACCATTTCTAAAATCAAAATTTAGTGTATGACCATAAAAGTTGTAGAATGTCATCAAATCCCTGTTAAGCAGCAAAAATGTATAGTGAAAAAAATGTATAAAAACTATTTTTTCCACATCTTCACTTTTATTTTTACATAGTTACATTCATACAGAACATAAACAGGTCAAACTAACTAACAATCACTGCATGCAGGTACCACAGCCTTCGTGAAGCCAAATGACAAACAACACCTTCAGTGAGAAAAACTAAATAGAAAAAGCAATAAACTTAATAAAGTGCATGTTATTAAACCTGAAGGAAAACATTTCTCATCAGCCCTCCTGCCAATGTGACAACACAGTGTTTGGCTTCATTTCATATCAGACCGTCAAAGAGACGTCCACGCTGGCGAAACCCAAACTCTTGTCAGTATTTACCCTTTATTACCCAATTAAAAAGCAAATCATTAAATTACAGTATATACATGTTTACGCTACCAAAGAAACTGCTTTTCAAAATGTCCTCAGCTAATGGATTTGGCCAGTGTAAATAAATAATTTAGTCTTTTTTATTTTGATGTTGAGAAGGTTGTAAGGTTATAATGTTGGAGCATAAGTTTGGATCAGTCCAGTGGACTTACAGACAACAGGAGTCTGAGGTCGATTTAAAGCCTAAGTCACCAGTTTCTGTTGATTTGAAGTAAAAATCAAACTTTATAATATGATGAAAAATCAGCTTCCAGCTGCTGGTCCAGACATTTTCACTGGGACAATGACCAGAATCAAAGATAATAAAGCAGACTGGCTCACTGTACAATGTCAGATCACATAATGTATTGATTTAAAAATGGAAAGGCAGTTTCTTCCCAAGTGAGGACAAAAAGAGAAATTGGCAAATTATAATAAATAAGTTGATGTGTATAGTGGCGAGTAAAAGCAATTTCCATTGTATATTTGTTGTAGTACTGCATTAACAAACAAACTGCACCATGCAGATTTCATCATCATCATCATCATCATCATCAAACCATTGTCAGTCATACAGCAGAGTGACAACCTTTTACACATGTGGTCGTGGAGGATAACTTAAAGACTATATTACTCTACATCTTTACTGTGAGCAAATTTACACCAATACCTTGAAGTTTGGAAATGTTAGAACGATACAAGTTCATGTCGAAGGAGATTGTAAAGTTGCATGTGACATAAATGATGCTTTTCAAAGTGTGATTAAAGTTGTAACTCAAACTTCGGTCCATTTTCTTGTTTCTCTTCCATTTAAAGGTAAGACTTCAGTGCTCTCAGTCAGTGCCTTATTGAGAAGGGAAACAAAAGTATTGATCTGGGCCTGATGCTGAGGAGTTCACAGGCAGTAGTCTCAAAACCCTGACCTCAGAGGAAGTTGATGGAAGCGTACATTCTCCTACTTTCTTAAGACACCTGTCTCTCTGTTCAACCTGCTAAAATCTACTCTCTGAACTGTCCATGAAAGATAAGTGCTGCATTTTTTTAATAACGCAAAGTTATTCACTATGTCGTGATTCCAAGATGAAGTGTCTGAATAAACTTTTCCTGCACTGAAGTATTGTCAACTTCCATGTGACCTCAGTGTTTATTCTCTTTCCTTCTTCAATTTCAAACATTTACATTTAGTTCAGTGCATCCCAGTTTCTTATCCTTCCTCACACGATCTTCCTCTGACTCACCATCGGAGGTAGATCGTGTGTAACGGTAACTTCTTTGGGTAAAATCCCTTTTGCTCAACTGCTTGTTGACAGTCATATGTACCTTGCCACTTGCACGGCAGCAATGCAGAGAAGTTAGAATGAATGAAAAGCTTGTAGTAATTTGATGTTCCAAGGTGATGTGTTTAGTACAAATGAGCATGACCGTGACCCAGGAACAGAAAGAGAATAGGAATACCTGATGGAGGTCCTTTTTGTTAGCTTTGTAGCTAATCCCATAAGCAGAGCCATGGCACAAATAATCAGTCACTCCACTACTGTCACTCCTAAAGTCCTTAATTTCTAAGTGTGTATAGAACATTAATGAGCATTTCCTCTTGTTTCTTCTTCAGTGCATCAACTATAGCAGAGACACCAGCAGCTCCTCCTCCATCATCCAGCCGTTCAGCTGTGTCTGTTTTACTTACTGTGCTGCAAATACTGCTGTGTGAACATGTTGAGTTCACTGTCCAACCAACCAGCCTTGTTCCTATTACAGCCAAAGATACAAACATTAGGAAAATACAAAAATAACTACATTTACTACTATATTTTACCAATTACTACTCTAACATTTACATTGGTACCGTTTGGTGATATTACAGAAAAGGCTCTTTTTTTATATAACTAAAGAACCAGCCCATTAAGATCTATCTAATAAATAATAACTATAAAATGTACAATGACAGTATTTTCACAGTCTCATTTTAAAAGACTGAGTAAAATAAATGAAAGTTGCTCATTTATAGAGGAAAACATTGTAACTGGCAAAGACTAAGCCTCTTCCTTGCGACCTAACCATAATACACACTCTGGCAGTTTTACAGTTCAACAGTGACATTCTTACCTCAGCAGCTTAGCTTTGCTCTGAAGACCATCCAGCAGCTCAATCTTTGTGTTCATATCAGCAATTTCATCCTCAAGATTCTGGCGGGTGACATCTACCTGCTGGCAAAGCTGAGCAAACATGCCCGCCAACTCCCTGGTGAAAGAAGCAACATTGCCTGTGTGATTTCAAAACTGTAAAAACGGCAGCGTAGAGCAGACGACTGAGTTGCACAATGAAACTAGTCATAAATTTGAATTAATTTAAATCTGAATTACGCTCCAGCTAGCGTGTGTGAGATCGGGTAACTCACTGCTGGACTTGATGGCTACAGTTGGATCCAGTGTAGCTGACAATGAGCTGCAGTTTCTCACTGGCATAGTCCACAAACTGTCTCTTAAAGGCTCTCTCCTTGGCCCTGGTGGTCCAGGTGAGGCGTTCGTAGATGTAGAGGAGCCCGTAGAGGCCCACTGACAGGGCGATGAGACGCCAGCCCACTGCCTTCCAGATCTACAAACACAAATTAACTTTAAAGAACCACCCCGAACGATGCAGTACAATGCTACCATCTAGTGTACAGTTTGAGTGCGTCCTCACCACGCCTCCAACTACCAGGACGCCCATGGAAGTGCGAGAAGTGAGGGAGGCAAGTCCTGTCACCATGGAAACCATCAACTCCTCCTGCGTCATGGAGTTTTGTGGGAAGGGAGGCATACTGGTGCTGACTGGAGTCAGGGCCAGGGGCCGAGGGACCTGCAGGGTGAGCCCAGCTAATGACATCTCTCCGCACTGAGGTCATTATCCTGGTCTAAGAAAATGAAATTTCAGGTTTTTACCTGGTCGTTGTAGCCCATGAGGGCCCTCCTGGTATTCTTTGGTCCCAGGAAGCGGTTGACCAGCATGGTCCATCCCAGAGAGAAGTGGAAGCTGATGTCCTCCTGAAAGTCACTGCACAGTTTGTCACAGGCCAGGTCGTAACTAAGGCTAAAGCACTGACGGGGGACCAGCTTGTCGACCTGCTCTCTGACTGGTCCAGGCAGCAGAGGTTTGAGACCCTCTGGTAAACACACGGTCACAAAGTGAAGCATGAAGTTTAAAATACAAACAGAGAAGCAGGAAGCAGAAATTTTTAAAAAAAAAAAAAAAAAAAAGGAAGAAGAAATTTTTAAAAAAAAAAAAAAAAAAAAAAAACACTGCAGACTGTTCTGTAACAACTATGACAAAGCCAGTCACTGTGGCTCTAATCAGACTTCAGGATCTTGATTTACCAATCATGTCCGTCTGTGTAGCCTGTATTGCACTGGTGATAGAGGTGGAACATCTCTGTGACATGTTCTTGCCCAGACCCTCTTCTACATGTCGATGAAGCTCCTGGAACAAAAACAAATGGCAAACCTTCCATTTAATGAAGACGAATGACATGAATAATCAAATTAAAGTAAGGATTAGCTACTGAGACACACTGGTTTAGATAGCGCTCACACATAAAAGTTATCTTGTCTTCATTTTTAGTTCAACTAATCATGTGGTAGAGACTGTATGGGAGACCCATAGGTTAAATAAATCAATGTGGAGATCAAAAAAACTGAAATACATGAGCTGCAGTGAACGGTGAAGCTGCTTCGCCGGCAGAATGAAACACACAAAATGCCTCAGGTAATAAAATTACATGAGGCAAATTTACCTCGTGTAATAACAATAATATGTCCAACATCTACATTCTCATGTGCAAGACTGTTCATCTGTTCAATTTATGTTACCGTAAAATTGTATTATTTAAAAGTCTTTGTTTTCCTATGTTATTATTTTCTACACTACATAATTTATCTCAACTGCAAGATCTCAAATCTTAATAATCTTCAATAATCAATCTTAATATTGAATGTACACAATGAAAAACTGTGAATCCATGGACATTATCTTTCAGAGGAAACAGCAGATATGGACAATGGTTCTATGTGAGCAGGTACGATGAACCCCTGAATGTAAAACAAAAGGCAGTTCCACCTGTTGTCCAGCCTGTGCTTTCACTCATCACGAGTGTCGGCCACGTGTTACAAAAAGCCTTTGGCAGCAACAGCACTTTTAGTGTCTGCCTGCGTCAAAGGAGAATTCCAACAGAATGAGTGCCTCAGTCTGAACTGCTCTTACATAACACAGATCACACAGGCTTTATCCAGGTTGACGGTGGGAACAGAAGCTCAGGGATGAGCTTTACACTCTGTACCACTACTTTGTATTCAACATTATTTTTTCTTTTTGTGTTCCATATATTATAATTAGTGTCACTTAAAAAGCAGGAGTGTTCAGTTAACAGGAAAGTCAAGTCATCTAAGTAGCAAAACCACCATGGTGTCCTCTGCATCAGCCATCAATAAAGGATGTATTCTACAGACCAATAGCTGTACTAGCAGCATTTACTGTGTATGTTGATCATTACTGTTTGCTCTGAGATATAATGGGCTTCATGTACTTGGACTGAGGTACTGACAGAAATGTATTAATGTAGTTTCCATTTCCCATTACATGTATATTATCTCTTAGTATGATGTGGCAATGCACTAAATGGCATGTTTGTATTGTATTACATTGTAGTGTACAATTTATATTTTTTCATATTTCATTTGTGTAAATTGTATATATTAACATATATTATTAGTCATTAGAAGTTGAGCAGGGATGTACCAGGAAAGTATCACAAGTGTTGTGCTTCATGTGCTATAAATGCCAGAATGAATGACTAACGAGTTAAATAAATGTATAATTTAAAGAAAATGTTGTACTGAATTAATTTAAAACTGACAAACTAGAGCAGACTGTATTAACAGTTCATATAAATTTGATCACACATTTGTGTCTTCACATTTTCCCAAACATTTAAAGCTGCCGTGGATGAAACTTGTAAAACTCACATTCTTGTAGACCTTGAGCACGACAGGTGATTGGTGGAAATCCAAGTGGAACTCATCCACCAGAACATTCAGCTTCCTGATCTCCTCCGCCATTGCATTAGACACCTGTGCAAGAACAGAGCAGAGGACAGAGGGTAACAACACACAGGATGTTTGATGCTGAGAGAAGCTGCTTTTGGTGAGGATGATCCAATACAACAAAGAAAGGATGGCACCGCATCAGCTGCAAGGTTTGTGTATGTTATCATCAAACATAAAAACAATTCCAGTTTTGAAATCCATGTGACTTAAGACAGCAACAGTCAGTTCAATGAGCCAACAATGACAACATTTACACATGTTCAGACTCAAACATGTTGACATTCACCTGTTTCTCCACCTCCTCTGTGATCTTCTTGATCTTTTCTTTACAGTCAATAGTCAAAAGGTCCAGCTGTTTATCAATGAACTCCAACCTGCACTGACGATCTTCCTTGGTTTCTAGACAGTAGACCCTAAAACACGAGCAAAGAAAATCATTTTCATGTTTCATGTGATAATCTCTGCCAACACCTTGACAACAGAGAACTCACCTCTGCTCTTGTGCAGAAATGTGCACAGACTCCATGATGTGTCGCAGAGCTTCAGAGATCTGCTTGGCCCTCACTGTGTGCTGCTCAAATTTGGTTTTTACTGCTGACTGTGAGATACACTCCTGAAAACCACAGACAGGCAGAGACAGGTGTAATGAACATTTGCTTTGGATGTGATTTTAATATTTGTTTCCTTTATGTTTCATGGACGAGGTTCTTACCTCAAAACGCCTCTCAAAGTTCTGAAATTCAAACATTCTGGCTTGGAATCCCTCTGCAAGAGCTCCACCTGAAATTAACCAAGAAAACAATGAGTGACTTCAGAGTGGACAGAACTGTTGCTGAATCAAATATCAGTGTCAACACTGAGGACACTTATTACCTCATGGGCATTCATTGAAAATGTCACAACTGCTCCAATGTTTTCAGAGGTGATGTTTTAAGTTTATAGGAAAATAAAGTGACTACTCAGTTTTTAAAATCATAACATGGACTGACATTTCCCATAGACTCTATTCCTATGACTTGTAGCGACTAGAAAAGAAGTCCTTGTCTTAATGCAAGTCTTCTGTTTGTTACCACAGTCCACACAATATTAATATTTCTTGTGTCTGCAGTGTGTGTTTCTTCATAATCATCAGATGAAAATAACACAAAAGGTTGACACCAATATTTTAATCTCCTTTTTAGAGTATATTATCTCTTGTCACTGTTTTAAAACACTTAAAACACATTTTTCTTCTTACCAACACACACACTACATGCCATGCTCACCTGCTTCAGGCATTCCTTGAGCTTTCTGCACCCGAGCCTGGAGAACCTCCTTCGCAGAGACAAAGAAGATGCGGTCACTAGCCTGGGTCCGGTCCACCACAGCCAACTCATCCACTAGGAAATTTGTGCATCGGTCCATGTGCTGCCTGCGAACCTGACACAGCAAACACAACACGTTTAACTGAATGTTGAAGCTGCAAAGTGACTTCTTGAGTGGTATTAAAACAAAGTGTGAATTTTTGGATATTTTGTGTTTCATACTGACCTCTTCCATGTATTCAGGTTCCGATGCCGAGGCGTCCCAGCGGTTGTTGAGGATGAAAATGTTTGGGCTAGAGAGTCGCTCATTTACTTTGTGGAAAAATGATTTTTCCTAGAAAATAGCCAATTTGAAAGAACAGTGTTGGAAAATACATTTTATAAACATTTCATACATTCTAATAGATATAAACTTACTCTGGACTCCATTTTCCCTTTGGAATTAAGCAGTTAACAAAATGTCATGTCTTACCGTCTGCATCAGAGTGGACTCAGAGTTTGCCACCAGAACGAAAACATCAGCATCTAGACAGAACTTGTCGATCCAGCTATCCAGTTCTGTCGTGACATCAATACCTGGACTGCAGAGGGGCAAAAGAAAAAAACAAAATCAACAACTCTGCCTATCAACTTAGGATAGTGTTTTTCTAGATAGAGAAAAGGAAATGACAAACAAATGGTTATTTTGAAACTCACAAACAAACGAGATTGAAGTAAAAGTATACTGCAATATTGAACAATGTCTAGCATGGCTAACACAAAACCAAAAAATGTTATAATAAAATTGAAAAAACATGATAACAAATTGTGTTCTACATTTTATGAATTAATTTTTATTGCAGTGAATATACTTCTTTTTGTTTTTAATACAGAAGTCTCACCTGTCCACCAACACCAGATCATCCCTGAGGAGAGCACATTTGGCTTTCGGCCACATGACACAGACTAAGCTGCCAGCATCGAGAGCCTCGTCCTGGTGAAGAGCGTGAGCCAGCTGGTTCACTGTCTGTGGAAACATTATCCACCCAAGATCAGTAACATCATTATTCTACCTCTGCATGATATTGTACAGGCAGTTTACTCTGCCTACCATAGAGCACTTAAAGATAATGAGCGCTGTGCTCACCTTTATGCTCTTCTTCTCCTCAGATCCTTCAGTGAGGATAAAGGCCTCGTTGCCATCTGTGCCCTCCACCCTCAGGAAGCAATTGGTGGTGTGTCCTATTCCTGATGGCAGCACCTTATCACACAGCATGGCGTTGATCACTGAGCTCTTTCCATTACTGGTCCTGTAGAACAAATACCAATCCTGTTTGTAGGGTCTGTAAGGCATTTTACTTAAAAACTACTTTAAGCTGCTTAAAATTCTACAGAGAAATACATTTTTAAATTAAAAACGTAAAAAACATACCTCCCAAAGAAAACCACCTTCATGTGTCTACGAGCAAGAACTTCACCAATCCCTGCAACCTTTGCGAGGTAGCCGCAAACCTCCTGGACCTGCTCCTCTGTGGTGACTGGGTCCAGCTCCTCATTTTTGTATGTGTCTGGCATGTGGTGAATATTTTACAGACATCAGTGTCATTTTAAGATTACCATATGTGAACAAAGAATTAAAAGAAGTGGCATGTTGGTGGGAGAGAACTACCTTCTAAGAAGCAGGAACTCTCCTTTATGTAGGCCCCGAGTTGCTCGAAGATCCCATTGATCTTCTTCTTTGCAGTAACAAAGTGCTTGAGCGGTGATGCATTCACTTCTGCCATCAGTCTTTTATCCTTTTTACCGTGGACTGCGTTGGAGTTGGGTCGGGGGAAAACCAGAGACATGGCACTGGACAGAAAAAAAGAATTCAGATAACAATGCTAGTATGATTGCAGCGAAGTAGCTAAACAGATGCCTTTACAGAATGAGTAATAAAGGATTGGTATCCATTTCCAAAGCACCATAATGTCAATGGACTGAAAGCATTAGGAGGGACAGAAGACAGGGGATGTAGAGACTCTACTGAACACATCTCTTAGCTGAATTCTAGTTACTTTTTTCTCTTTTTAATGTTTGATATCTTAGAATTCATTCGTAATATTTATGAGAGGGTTAAATTAAAAAGGAAACTTGATTTTTCTTTCATTGCTGTCATGTGCGGTTCCAATCACTGATTATGTGTGGGCTGTTTTGTTTTATTTATAGAAATGTGATTTTTATATTTAATTAAATAAAGGGAGTAAGTGGCAAAAACTAGTATCATTAATCAACCATTAATTTCTCTGATTTCTAACGACTGACATGAGAAACAAAACTTACTAGTCAACATTACCTACCTTAGAAATGTGCAGCTAAAGCACAGTGTGGTGTGTGGTTAAAGATACGTGTTTTGTATTTGTTCGATGTGCATCAGGTTGCATCACTCAGTGCTTATCCTAGTTTTATTTTTTTTATTTTCCTGTGTCACCCATCTCGACTTTTACCTAGATTTTCCTCATATTAATTACAATTACAGATAGTGTATCTATGATAAGCAAAGCAATTCAACATGTGTGGGTCTGTGATGGACACTTGATTTGGTTTTAAATAGTTACTCTGAAATCACACGTGTAGTGTTTAATATCCAGGGTGCACAAGGGTAGAGTGTGTCTTTACTGATATGTTTTCAAAGGCACGTAGCACCACAGGAATGCGTGAACGTGACCGCCCCCTGTCTGCTGTGGGCCTTTATTACTGTGCCTTGTGACCTTTCACACAGTTGAAAGGTAATGCAGTTTCTGCATTTCATTAACTTTTACCCTCCCTAACATAGTGCAACTTTACCTGCATGTTACACAATTATTCGATGCAACACGACAAAGGCGCAAGATAAAGCAGCTTATACTGTGGCGCACAAACTGGAGGACATGTCCTTCAGTTTCTTCTGGATCATACAGGGTGTTCCCGGTTTACGATCCTCCACTGATACACTGTCAGAAATCTAAAGGATCTGTCGTTCACCGAAGACAAATTATTGCTAACGTACAGGCTAGGTAGCCACTGACCCAAGTGACAGACAGTGAGTGCCAGTCGCAATTAGTTTGGCATCACAGTGCATTTTAAACAATACGATATGTTGTAAAAGTTTAATTGTTTTCTGGTATATTTTGTGACTTACCGTGGTCGCTCTCGTTCTTCACATAAACTCCTCTATCATCCTTCCGAGTCCTTCTGAATATGCACAAGCTAATCTACCGTTGACGTTAATGATGGCGGTTGTAATTAGCGTTAGCAATGCTAGGAAGAGCGAATGACTTTGAGAGCAAAGAGGAGAAATAAAACAAAAACGTCTGCATACACCTATATAAATCCTTTCGGTAAATTTAATATTTTAATCCCATGTTTTCGTTTTTAACTACTAACACATTATCCCCGCCTCCGTCCCGTCTTCCGTTCCGCCGCTATTGCGCACCCTACTGACGAACCCCGACGTCATCATTTTCTTCTTCTTGGGAGTTCTGAAGGTATCAAAGCGTTAGCGCCATCAACTGACAGCTGTACATCACTTTCTTTTGTATTTAAGGCAATACGAATGCAACGTTAATGTTTTGTTTGATTTTTACAAAGAATGCTAAAAAAAAAAAAAGTAGTAACAATTGAAACGAGTGATGGGGAAAATGTACTTAATGTTATTAATTTTAAGCCTTGACTTGGAGAAATGTCTTTTAACTAGATCCAAGATACTACTACTCTTACTATTGTGTTGATTCTATACCTGTGTTTTTATGGGTGCTTTAATGCTGCTGGAGCATTTAATTAATAAAGTTATATCTATCTAAGATGGTGAGCATAAATTAATGAACTTAAAAACACACACACAGACAAGGTGGAAATCTAAATATTTATTTTGTATTACTTGATGTTCAGATAATTAGAAAATGACAACTCCTTTCACTGTATCCTAGTCTAATAAAGTGATAATACAAACATCTAAAGCAAAACATGTCCAAGTTTAAGTGAAAGGAACCTGCAATAGAGTAGTTCTATGATCCGACCTATTTGCAAGCAATGAATAACAGTGAAAGATGGTTTAGTACAATGAATACTGGTGTGCCGTGTGTCAACTTTTCTTTTCCATGTTCAGTCTGGAATGCTTCTTCTGTGTTTTCCACTGCTGTACAAACAGACCAACCGTGTACCAACAATTGTGTCACATTAAGATTCAAATCTTTGTTTCAGTGGAGACATGTCCCTAATAAATGCAACAAATGTGAGTACACATGAAATAAATCTGAATGAGCTGACAGAATGTTTTTTGTCAGCATAACCATCCTTAGCTCAATGAGTCAAAAATGACTAAAACTGGACAAGAAGAAAGGTAAATTCTGAACTAAAAAGTGATTTTCCTTCTAATGTAGATCTGTTATTAAAACGTCCTGCTAAGTTAATTAACAAATCACATTTAATAGTAATGAAAGTATTTCAACTGTGTCTGGGAATTAATGCATATTCTTAAGTTCTCAACCCAATGACAAACCTAGAAGGCCTTCAAAGAGCTTCAAAATATCATAGATGAAATGTCCCTGAGCCATTAATGCTGAATTATATACCAGCTAAAAGTGATTTCAATAAGAGATGGGGAAAACAAACATATCCTGAGAAAGCACTTGTGCATAGGACCAGCTTTTCTGGCAGTTTTAAGAGAAAAATAAAAGAAATGCTAATGATATGTAACCAAAAAACATCAAATATCAACACACTAACACAGGAAGCTTGAAGCTGCATGTTTCATAATTTTCTTGATATAATGCTTTTCAGACCAGTACTTTACATGTGGTTAGTAAACAGGGATGCTGCTTCTAGGTGAAGTGCTAAAAGTAGGCATCGACAGTACCAAAGTGTTGTCAGTACATTCCATCAGACAGCTGTGGAATGTCTTTAGGTCGAGACCCAGGGTCCTTGAACACAGTAAACATTCCAGACTGAAGAGAGACAGCATTATAGCACAACAAAGGCAACATGAAGTGACACGATATGTGGTACTTGTTAAGCTAGACAACGTTTGTTTTCTAACCTCCATAAAAAAAAAACTATGGAGCTATCATCAAGTACATGTGCTTGTTTTGACAAATATAAAACTATACAGTCATATTTTTCTCTGCAGTTAGATGGACAGTCACCTGTCTCTTCTCTGAGGTAGTAAATAAGTAGAAATATCATTACAAGCATGTACAGAGGACTATATTTGACTCTGGAAAACACAATCTGGCATTTCAGTGTGTATCCACTCCTTCAAAGTTGTATTTTGGAAAATATCTTCACCAGTGGTACAAAAAAAGCCTAACTCTTACAGGTTAAAACTAGTTCTAATGATTTTTTTTGCAGAACGATATATGACAAAGTAGAGGTAGAAAGTCTGACTGAATTATAATGTCAATGTCTGCTGCTAGATAAAAAGTTTAGATTCATAAAAATCTACTTTTATAGTTTCAATCTAATGGCACAAGAGCCAAAAATAACTAAGAGAAAATACACAATAATAACAATTCCACAGTTCGGCTTGTTTGAGGTACAGATCAAATTCATCCTTTTTTTTAAACATGTCATAAGTGCTTAAACCCAGTTAAGAGAGCAGAGACTCTTAGAGAGGCACAACAGTAGCATTTTAAGACATTGGTGCAACACTTTGAGGCTTGTTACAATCCTAATGAGAGACATCCTTCAAAAGAAAAAGCTTTGTGGAATTAAGGCCAAGAGTATTTTCTGACTATCACTCGCTAAACACATTTTCTACAATATTCGAGAAGCAGGAGCCCCCCTGACATCTCCACTATACATCTTTTTTCCGGAGTGGAGTGTCATGGAGCAGCTGGGGTAGACCCATAATTCCCCTCCACACAACAGAACCCTGAATCTCAACAGACCAGCTGTTCCTTGACTGCTGCTTCTCTGGCTGTACTGACTCAAGGTCAGAGGGCGAGAATCGCCTTTTCAGTCCTGAGTACATAAAGAATCTGTTCCATTCAACACCACAGCCAAGGCTGAAATCAGAAGCAGTAAAGAGAACAAGAAAGGCTACAAGTGCTTCAGAAGACCGTTGTGGAACAAGATCTGAAAATGAGGTTTGAAAATTAAAACAAGCAGGTCACAATTACAATCTGCTCTGATCCAGTGGGGCGAATTAAAAATAAGCAGAACATGGAACAAGAAGCACTTCAATGTTTAATGTTTAAATTATACCCTAATGACAATGCCATTTTAATTACTCTCTTTATGCCATTTGACTAAGGTTGCCACCTTCGACAGAGAACATGGTTTGGGATGCGATCTACCGTAGGCTTTAAAGACATCTATTGAAATTGTTCCTTGTAAAGGCAGAACACTTTTGTCTTTTTTTAACTGGTTAAGAAATGGTTTGTATCTGCAATTGCCTACATTAGGACGCAGTAACAGCTGATAAAGAACTACAAAGGAAGATTTACATGGACATCAATGATCCAAGCAGACAAATCATTCCAAAAGCTTAAGTCTTTTGCCTTTTAATTTTGACACAAAATTGCTATGACCCCATCCCCAACCATATCTTTTCAAAGCTCAAAACGTTTACCTAGAGTATCAATTACAAAGAGATCAACAGGTCCAGCTGTGCACATACTCTGTATGCTGTAGCTCATGCTACAATATCAGCTGTTATACAGATGGGTTTTGATACCAAAAGCTAATGTCCTGACAGAGCGACTGATGAAACTGTGAAGCCTGCCACTAATATAGTTTTTACCTTATTTCACATTTAGCTAGTCCTGAACCAGGACTGTCATACTAAAACATCCAACTTCATGTAACAATATGTACTTGAGCAGAAATCCCATATTTTTAGTCTTTGTAGAAAATATCTATCCATAGATTCCTCTGAAACAGATGGTTGCCTTCAACCAGGTGTTGTACGAGTGCTTACTTTACATCCTCAATTTTAAAGCAACATGTATGCCTTCCAGCAATACATTTATAGGACATTATTCCCATACTACATTTTATGACATGTTGAGTGTAAGTTTTGTTGGATGACCAAATGCTCTATACCAACATGTCTAGAAGTCAACATGTATAAATGAAAGTGCAGCAACGCTGAGATCGGTGACATAGTGTCAGCAAATAAACATACTCTGAGTTCTCTGGCCTGTAGGGATTTTTGCAGTTACTGTTGTACCCAATCAAGCCCCATAGATACACAAACACACCAACAGGGTAAGGCACAAAACACAGACATGGAGGAAATAGCAATGTGAGAAACACATTTATGTCCGAGTTGGCTATTAATTAATATGTTTAGTTAAAACTGATGGGTGCAGTCATTGAAATGGAACCATTTTGAAACCTACAAAGGTATATTTAGCTGCCATGCTAACTATACACTTTTTTGATACTTAACAGATAAACTGCTTTTGAGGAACTGTAATGAGACTGTCTAGAGGGGCTGTCTGGGAAAACAGCTCTGTCATCTTACAGACAAGGTTATGGAATCTCTTAAGCAGGTAACAAATACAAGTTAAATACAATCCCATCAGTGGATCCAAATTATGTTTCTAAGATTTACCAGGGGGGTTTAGCAGTGGGAATGATATTTAAGAAGGGGTATACAAGACCTAGCACCCTCACAACATCACCCACATCTGTCAAAAGTCAAAAGACACTTTCCAGCAACTCTATTGGGAATTCTTTCTTCAAAATGGCTAACGAGAGCAGCAAACTTTGTCTTATGTGACTTTTACAGAAACTGTTTGTTGTAAGGTAAAATGGAAGGTAAAATGTAAGTGCATTTAACTGTGTGATTCTACATTTAACAGTCAAAAGTAAATATCTATAAAGCATTTGAGTTTTTTGTTGCTGTGCTGTTGTGGCCAAAATAACTGCATCTGAATATTCTCAAAGCTTTCGATAAGAAATCCCAGCTTTAAAGATGCTCTCTTTAACAGCTTTCGTTAGCTGACTCTAAGTAACTGCACTGACAAATATGAAGGCCTTATGTTTCAACGACGGGTCACATTTAGAACACTTGAAGTATTTGTTAAACATTATACGTATCTGCTGAGGTACTACGATACATTTGATGGTGAATCATCAAGCCGATGCCTTAAGCTCCAAACACTGATGCAGAGGTTGCAATTTTAGTATTTTTAATGTTAAAACATTTTATGCTATAAACCTAATTAAAAAGGTCAGGGCGTTTTTCTACAGGTTGATAATCTTATTTGGAAAACATGGTAGTGTCTTTAAAAATATCCTGAAACTGGATAAATCAGCATTGTGCAGTATCTGTAACTAGTGTGTTAAGTGCATCCACTGTTGGTAGAGGTACTGTTTTGGTTGAAGTTAGACCATCACATTTTCTTAAAAGGTTCAAGCCTCCTTCCTAAAATATGAGGTAATACTGATGAGGTGATTTGTTGTGTTTAACAAAATATAAACTACTAAGATTAACATCTTCAGTACTGACTAAAGTTATACATTTGTTTTACAATAAAGATGCTGTTCTCATCTTAAACCCTTTTTCATGAAAATTCATGAGTACAATAAAGGCAACGTCTATGTAGGAAGAGCTGCTTACTGCTGAAAGGCCTGATAGTAGTGAGGTAGGGAGCTGGAAGTGCTCATAGCAGGACTACTGTACGCCTGAGGTAGTTGGCTGTGGTTGTGGGCTCCAGGGCCCTGGGGTACATGGCTCTGTGGAGGCTGAAAGAAGGTGAAAGGGCCGGTTGCCTGAGAGGACAGCCCAGTGGAAGGGGAAGGAGAGGAGCTGGTTGTGGTGGTGGGTGGATAGCTCATCACCAACCCTCCCATGCCCATGTGAGGGCTGTAAGGAGGAAGGCTGAAGGGCAGGAAACCCAGCAGAGGCCCAATGTCCATGTTGGTGGGGCAGGACAGCTCGGTTGAGGAGACAGCAGGGCTGCGGCAAAGCAGGTGGGGGTCCCCACCAGAACCCACCCCTTCATTGAGCACCTCGCTCGGGGGAGAGGTGGAAGCAGAGGTAGAAGAGTTGACAGCACTCAGGTGAGGTGGAGGGGCACTCTGAAGGTCAAGCAGGAAACTGTCCACATCAGCACGAGGATATGAGGTAGATCCGTGCTGGTACCTGGACATGTTGCTGTAGGGCTGCTGCTGTGGAGCTGCTGGTGGCTGCAGGTGATGATGGTGCGGGTGAGAGGACTGAGGAGGCATGTGGCGACCAACACCCATGGGTGAGGATAAGGAGCCCTGCATGAGGCCATGAGGATGGCCCATGCTTGGTACAGGATTGGTCATGGGGTAGGAGTTGTACATGTCTCTGGAGAAAGTCTCCACTGGCTCCTTGGAAATGGAGCCCATGTCTGTGGTGACAGGACTGGGCTCCTTGACTGGGCACTGGGCTGCAGTGGTGGGTGGTGCCACAGGTGTAGTGGGTGCACAAGGAGGCATCAAACCTGACTCTTGAGCGTGGCTCTTCTTCAGGTGGCGTGTTAAGTGATCTCTGCGGCCAAAGCGCTGTGCACAGCGAGGGCACAAGAAGTCGCGGCGCCCAGTGTGCACAACTGCATGACGCCTAACATCCTTACGCGTGTAAAAACGACGATCACATCTCTCGCACGAGTACTTCCGCTCTCTTACTGGCACAGCTGTATTATTGTTGCCTTCTGATGGTGGGGGCCTGTCTGTATGGCTACCCAGGTGCTCCAGGATAGCAGGTGACCCCTCTGGGCAAGATAGGCCTTGTGCAGCACTGTGGGCTGCCACCAGGTGGCGCCTATAGCCCAGTTGAGTGTTGTATTGTTTCCCACACTCCTGGCAGTGAAAGAGCTGCCTGGTGGTTGAATGATTCTCCTGCAGCTGGCTCTTCAGATGGTCCTGCTGGTGGAACATGGTCTAGAAACAGTGCTGGCTCTGCTGCTGCACAAGGACTCTGGCCGAGAGCCTGAGTACCCACAGACAAGACTCATGAGGATTCTCCAGACAGCTGACCATCAGCTTACTCACCGCTGGTCCTCTTGTTAACTTGGAGTGCTAGATTTAAGGCTAAGTGCTGCTTGTGGACTGTTTGATGTTTTCTTCAGGCAATGACTAGTGGTCTGTCCTGCCTTGCTAGGGCCAGCCTGTCTCCAGCACTTGGTTTCTGTGACAGCAGCTGCCATAGCAACCCCAAAAGGGCTGCAGTGATGAGGAGCTTTGGAAGCTCTGACTGGTTTGCTGTGTTTCCTGAGAAGAGCTCTTGTGTCGGCCCACAGTCTATTTTAGTATTCAGAAGCCCTGAACACCACAGACACTGCAGCTAAATCAGTGAGGCAGCTCAACATCTTTGCAGACCTGTCAACCAGAGCACACGGTCATTACAATCAATGCAAACTGAGCAAAATGAAATACTAATAATGTCTAGACATAGTATACATTTTACATCCAGGTGTCTAGGGAAGACTGACTGCACCTATTATGTATATTTTATATTTTGCATGGTGCTTTTAAAAAACAGAACTGGATCCAAACACGTAATTAAGTTCAGAAACTTGATAATTTACATTTTTATTTATAAGGAGTAGGTTTAGTTAGCTTGAATATTTAGGGTGCTCAAATAATCAGCTACTGGTTTATTATTCATTTTTAAAAATAGGGACATTTTGTTAAATTGGAATTGAACTGAATGGCAATTTGTCGTACTTCGTTCCTCAATCAACTGCAGTGTTTCCCTTGAAAAAATGTTGTTCTTGACATCATTTCTTGTTTGTGGACAAGGTTATATTTTTGATCAAACATTCTCTCTTCTGAAAAATGTTTTATATGATGTTTCAAATGGCACAATACTTTTACAAGATCAAAAACATGGCAATGCAAGGAGTTTGACTTAAAGACAGCATTTTCCCTGTGTTTGCAATGTATTGATCAATTGACTGATCAACAATAATCTGAATAACAAACTATAAAACTGGTCCACTGTTAATTTCCTAGCATGATAAGGGGGAGCCTTATTTCAATAAATGGATTTTCGTTCTCATTCATCAATGTACTGTCACTTGTTCCACTCATGCTGCTAAATCACTGTTGAATGCGACCAGTGGAAACGTTTCACACTCACTGGAGGCTGGGGGGGTAGAAGAAAATGAGGGGAGCGGGCAGCGCCATCTTGTGGAGCCCCAACATAGAGTTACCGTTAAGGTCCAATGCCCAAACTAGCACAAACAAAAACCTACGTTGGTTGACCAAATGCAAAATAATCACCTTGAAATGACAGCTAGAGTTAGTATAAATATATACTTTAAATTTGTGATGGACTTAGGTGGTTACGCACTTAGAAAGTGCTGTTCGGGTTCAGAACCACACTGGGGCTAAAAGTCACTGCTAGCCCAACTGCGGCCACGAATTTCGACAGGAGTTGAAAGTGTGTTTATTGCTCATGGGTATTTTCGTCAACATTTCACTAGTTAACCAGCAGAAAAGTTTGCGTGGCGGTTTAACTGTGGTTATGAACGATCCTGGGCTATTGGAGAGGCAGCATGCGGTTTAAAAAACAATAGATGAGCGGTTGAATAAGTTGTACGAGAGTTTGACTTGCGGGAGCTAACTCCTGTAACAGTTTTAGCCAGTAGGGTAAACATCTAACTCGCCTCAGCACGCACGGATGAAACGTTACTTACCAAACGCACCACGGTCCACTCCTTTGTCCAGGCTAGATTCTGCGTCGCTATGGACATTTTCGAAGAAGTTTGGATGATGTTTATTACACCCTGGGCCTGGACTGCTGCAGAGCGCCGCGCTGGAAGCCATGCATTCTGGGAGAATGACGTCACACCCCGGGCTCAGAGAAACTCCAGCAGCAGCGACTTGTTCCTGCACACAGATCCAGGACTGGAACCAGGCTGATCGAAGAGAATGTTTTATTCATATAACGTTTTTTTTTTTTATTTTTGTATGGAATTTCCTTCAACTGTTGGTTTGCAAATTCAATACACATAAGAGCAAGCTCACAAAAGCAAGCAAAATATTACAACAAAAAGATAAATACATCATACTGATATAATGAAGAATTAATTGATTAATGAATTAAAACAGGGTATCCAAATTAAATTGTGCTTAAAAGGTTTATGCATAAAAAAAATCCTATCCACTTGCAAAGGAAGGGCTAAGAAAGTTTTAATAAGATAAGATAAGATAAGACTTTATTCATCCCACACTGGGAAAATTCAGCAGAAAAATAAAGAGTATTCTCCCTGAACGCACAGGCTCCAATAGCTAGCTGAAAAGACAATTTTGGGGTAAAGTAACAATGTCTTAGCTTTAGCAACATTTAAGGGTTATGGTTAGTTATAGACACGGTGTTGTTAAGTATCTTTACATCTTTTTACATTTGCTTTTCTTACAAATGCATATATAAGTAAATTTAATTCTTTTTTCAAACACAAAATATATTTTGTTTGTCTGATTTTAGTTGATGTTAAACTCCACCATGGGTGGTTGGATGGATGGATGGATAAACAGACTGACAGATGCTGGCCAGTGTCTGTCTAGTTTTGTCTTCACAAGTTTGAAAGTGAATGTGTTCATGTCATCACTAAGAAGCACCAAGAAAAAGGATAAGATACTGGCTCGTGCACAGAAGACACTCATCGGGACTACACAAAATATTGACTAGCTTGCATAGGATCTTATC